GATGTATAGTCCCAAGGCTTTGGGCCATGCTTGGCTGCTTTCCTAGGTCACCAGCAGGGAGCTGGATGGGAAGTGAAAGAGCTGGGATATGAACTAGCATCTAATGGGATCCCAACGCTTCTAAGGCGAGGATTAGCCAATTGGGCCATGGCACCAGGCTCTTCTCCATGGATTCTTTATTCAGGAATTGTACAGAAAATGTTTAGATTTCATTTAATCAGTAGTAATTATTTACACAGATATGAACATAAGGTCAACCAGAAGAGAGAGAGAGAAAGCGGTGGCAGTGGAGGGGTTTTCTCGCCAAAGTAGTCCCAAAAAGCAGCAGGCGAGGGGTGATTCATGCCTTTCAGGCCATTAGACCACCCAGTGACTGTCTTACACTTTCACAAAATGATAAAAGTTACTCTCAAAATCATTGCCACCTTAAAGGATGTTCACGATATCTTCAGGACAATCTTCAGCTAGCAAAGCCCACTTCTTCCCTAATTACCCATGCACTAACCACCGTATCTAGGATGGCCTCCAAAACCTTCCAACAAATACACTCATCTAAAAAAACGAAACTCGCAGGGCCAACATGGTGGTGTATCAGTGCCAGCAACCCGAATGTTTGCTGGTTCGAGTCCTGACTGCTCCACTGCCCATCCAGCTCCTTACCTTGTGGCTTGGGAAAGCAGTAGAAGGTGGCCCAAGCCCTTGGGACCCTGTATCCACATGGGAAACCTGAAAGAAGCTCTAGCTCCTCACTTCAGACTAGTCCAGCTCCAACCATAGCAGCCATTTAGGAAGTAAATCAGAAGATGGACTCTCTCTCTAACTCTGCCTTTAAATAAATAAAAGAAAGAAAGAAAGCCAGACACCCCAAAACAATGATATCTTCTTGCTGGTGCTTTTACAACTGGTCTTGTTTCAAGCCCACTAGAAGGACAAACATCTGAAATCAGGAGAAAATAAAATCAGTGTTTTTCTTTCAAGAGGATTTACTTATGCGGGCAAAGCATCTGGCCTAGCAATTAAGCAGCTGGCTTGGGATGCCCTCATCCCATATTTGGCGCCTGGGTTCATTCCTGGATCTGGCTCCTGGCTTCAGCTTCTTTCTGGTGCCTACCACCTGTGTCGGGGACCTACGAGACTTGGACTGGGTATCTGCCTGTCAGTTCTGACCTGTCCTGGCCCCAAGCCATTGCAGGCATTAGGGGAATAAATGAGCAGGTCAATCATCTTTCTTCCTCTCTCTCTCCCTCCCTCCCTCTCTCCTCCTTATCACTCAAATACATAAATCAGATCATTCCATGTGCTTTATATGACTTGCACAACAGAAGTACAGTATGATCTTGGTCATCAAGCAGTATAGGAATTAGGACAGCAAGTTCCCGGTTTTTATTAGAAGCAGTAACACAGGACAGGGGTTCCTGTAGGCACCCCTGAAAAAGCAGGGGTCCAGCCTCATGACCTAGAGGTTAGAGGGCTAACGCAACCCCGAGGAGAGTGATGCAGAAAGCAATTCCCCTCTTTTGATCTACACATCTCCATCTGTATGGGGTCAGTGTGAGGAGCAAATGACATCAGACTCGCGCCCTGGGCACACTGTAGGAGTTTGACAAATATTAACTACTTTTATGGCTAGGACAGGCCGTCTGGCTTCTAACTTCATAAAACAAGATTATTATAGGAAGCAGAGGCGGAAAGAAAACAAGGGGAGGGGCTGGAGGGAAGTCCCAGCAAGGCCCGAACTGTGGTTTCCCTGGTTCCCCTCCTGCCGAGAACTCCTGCACTCAATAAACTCCAGTGACCCCAGCTGAACCTGCCTGCTGGAGAGCAGAGAGCACAGCGGTGCTTTTGTTGTTGTTTTGTTTTTGTTTTGCTTGCTTGTTTGTTTTCTGCCTCTTCCTTTTTTTTAAAGATTTATTTTATTTTTATTGGAAAGGCGGATGGATATACAGAGAGGAGAGACAGAGAGGAAGATCTTCCCGCCCGATGATTCGGCCCAGGCGGCCTCAACGGCTGGAGCTGAGCCAATCTGAAGTCAGGAGCCTCTTCCAGGTCTCCCACGCAGCTGCAGGGTCCCAAGGCTTTGGACTGTCCTCGACGGCTTTCCCGGGTCACAGGCAGGGAGCTGGATGGGAAGCAGGGCTGCTGGGATTAGAACCGACACCCATATGGGATTCCAGCGCGTGCAAGGCGAGGACCTTAACCACTGCGCCATCGTGCCGGGCCCTGCCTCTTCCTTTTTTTAAAAAAGGAGTTTTTCCTTTTCTTTCTCAGGCCCAACAGAACTGAAAAATGTTGGCTTGTCCTAAACGCTGCAGTGTAAGCCATTCAATTCAAAGCAGGCATGTACCAACCTCCCCAGAGGACACGGGTACCACACACACTGCCCGCTGGACGCTGCCACACTGCTGTCCCCCTGTTCTCAATGAATCAGAAAACCCAGAACCTGGAAGCTGAGTTTTGGGGAACATTATTTCAGTGAACCAGCTGCTACCTAAGCTTAAACCACATGGCCCTGGGCTGTGGGACTACCCTGGGCCAACACACATGGATATCAAGGGTCCCCACCTTATAAACAGCTTGTGTTCCAACCTGCACTTGGAAGGCCATGGCTTAAAAGGCAGTGTGGGGAAGGTGTGACTAGTGACTAAAGTCCTCGCACTGAACGTGCCGGGATCCCATATGGGCCACTTCCCTTTCCACTCCCTGCTTGTGGCCTGGGAAAGCCATGGAGGATGGCCCAAAGCCTTGGGACCCTGCTCCTGCATGGGAGACCCGGAAGAGGCTCCTGGCTTTGGATTGGATCAGCTTAGCTCTGGCCATGGCGGCCACTTGGGGAGTGAATCATTGGACAGAAGATCTTTCTCTCTGTTTCCCCTTCTCTCTATAAATGTGCTTTTCCGATAAAAAATAAATCTTTAAAAAATAAGATAAATAATAAAAAGCAATATGCTCCTTCTATGTTACCCATCATACTTAGGAGGGTCTGAGCCAGCTCACATATTATGTAACCACAGTATGCCTAAGCCCTGTCCATTTTTTGCCTCCCACACTCACCCTCCCCCCCGCCCCAATGCTAGAAGTCTATAATACTCAAAGACAAACAGTTGGGAATGAAATAATAAAAGTTGAGTATCTTTCCTTTGTCTAGAGCTTCTGTGCCTGAGCCAAAGCAGATTTCAGCAGAGGATACAAAGCTTTATCCAGTTAGGGCAAAGGGCCAGCGAACACAGGGAACTCAGGAATCAGCCGCTGGGCCGTTCTGCAGGATTTATGCCAGTGTGACAGTCAGGACTCTGCACACACAGAAAGGCAACATTCACCACTTCTTTGAGACTTTTCCATCGCCCAAGGAGGAACCGGCTTCAGCGCCCCATCCCCATTAAGAACAGGTCCACCTCTGATTCAGAGGAACAGGTGCCTTCTGCACAGAATCTCTGAGCTCAGACATGCTCTGCGATGCTCGCCAGGGATGCCCGCACGGTCTGGAGATTGGTGCCCTCAACAAAACGGACTATACTGTTGCCAGTGCCTACACCATGGGTCTCTCTCGCTATCCCACATGTGTCCCGTTCTGTACCTTGAGCCATCATCTGCTGTCTCCCGGAATACATCAAAATGCAGCTGGAATGGCAGGGGTGCCACAAGGACCCGGACCAGCACTGTGATATGGGATATGTCACAAGCAGTGGCTTCACTCACTGCACCACAACCCACTTATTTTTCATATACAAATTTGACTAGCTTCAAAGAATGCAGACATGTTTAAGGATATTCTGGAGTTATCTTTACATCTTGCTGGGTTGTCAGGAGGACTCAACGAGCTAACTCAAGCCAAACTACCTGGAGTAGTATCTGACACCTAGGAAGCACCTACCAGAGGAACTGCATTTGTGCCACTGCACCGGGCCTTCTCCAAGCTGGAGACTCAGCCATCCTGATTCCTCTGTCTGGAACATTCTTCCCAGGGCCCTGCTTGTGCCACAGGCCAGTCTTGGAATGCAGGCAACAGCAGCCACATCAGCTGGAAATGTACCCAGCAAATTCTCAGACCCCCACCCAGCCCTACTGTATCAGAAATTCCAGCAAGGGTGGGGCTGGGGTGCGGATGGGGGCTCTCATCTAGCAATCTGAGATCAAAAAGCCCCCCATGGGCTTCTGTTTTCACAGCCAAGGCTGGAAAACTCAGCCACGTGCCACGATGAGTTGTACCTGAATGTTCATTCGGCTCTAAGCCCATCTGGGTGTTCAGTTCCTCAACAGTAGAAACACTTGTGTCTTGGTGGTCAGTTAACGATCCAACCGCAAGGTCCCTGCAGGTGTTGAAGATCCTAGCCATCACGACCTGGAGTGAAGTAAGCCGCTTCCTGCGGTCCAGATGAGTTCACAGTATGCCATGACTTACGTCCCAAACCATCCCGCCTAAGTGTTTCTGCTCAGTCCTTCGGTGTAAACAGAGGGTGCACCCCTGAAGGGAGACCAGCTGTGGCTGATTCTGGGGAATCACGCACCTCCTGCAGCAAGGGGTGGGGGGAGAGCTAGGATAGCTGAGCAGGTGCGCGACCATGTGCCTTCGCCTGTTAAAATGAACACCTGTGAAAACATCCCTTTCTCTCCTTCTCCCTTCCCCTCTTCCGCACCTCCCTTCCCTTCTTTTCGCATGGCTTCTACATCCCCATAGTTTTTCCTACCCACCTCGGGTCCCGCCTCCACCCTGTCCTCTGGGGAACACCCAGCTGGCCCTGGCGCAGCAGCGCAGCAGACGGGCGCGCGACGTGGTGCAGCGACGCCGGTTGGCGGACGCGCTCCACCACCCGAGCCCCCGGCCCGCGCGGTGGCTCCCAGCAGCGGCCGTGGGGTCGCCTGCCCCTCTGCTCCGGAGGCGGCCCGGCCGCACGCAGAGCGCCAAGGGGCCGGTGTCTCACCGGCCGGAGCTGCAGCCGCCACCGCCGCAAACTCTCCGCGGCCAGGCTGCGCGCTGGTGGGCGTGGGCGCCCGCCCGAAGGATGGCTGCCCCTGCGGCGGCAAGCAAGGGGACAGCAGTGCTGGAGGCGCCCCCGCAGCTCAAGCAGGTACCGGGCTCGCGACGGACGCAGGCTGCGGGACAAACCCCCGAGGCTCACACGAGTGTGCTCCGGCCTTGGGGTCGGAAGGGGTTAGGGCCTCCGGGCAGGTGTAAGCGGGCCTACCGTTGGTTCTCTCTCCCTGCCCTCCCTTCCGTCCTTGCTTTCTTGCTTACTTGTTTCACCCTCCGCCCCGACCACCCTCTTCGCCTTGCAGAGACATCCGTAGCCATTCCCTCCTCCTCCATCCTGGGCAGAGGCTCGGGGATCGGAGACTGGGCGTTGCGGGAGGCGATGGGTTTTGGCTGAGCTGCTTGTTTGCCATCACCTGAGTATGATGTGCAGGTATCCCAAGCAGCAGCTGGACCACCGTGCCAAACCCTAACCTCGGCAGCTGGATTTTCTTTTCTGAATGGGGCAGCTGTCTGGAAAGGCTATGATTGACAAGCTGGATTCAAATGCAACTCGTGGGGACTGTGTGTTGAGAACTCTGCAGGCCAGAGGACGGGGGAGGGTCCGTTCGTCTGGGGCTTGCCTGCTACCCTCACGAGGCACAGCCCCTCTGCTAACTCCACCCTGAGTGGGATGCACAGCCTGCCCCTTGGTTCCCGGGTGCAGCCTGCCCCTTGGTTCCCGGGTGCCGGGGAACAACCATCAGGTGGGAGCCTCGGTCCCTACCCTGAGGACCCGAGCCAGAAGCTGCATCTTAACTGCACCCCAGGGTGATGCAGTAGAGTCCCACAGAGAAATTTGAGAAGGGCTGGTCTCAGTCGGACTTTAAGGAAAGTGGAGTTACTGAGTAACCCAAACGTGACAGTGCCCCATCCTACTCTACTTCACCCGCTGCTGCCTGTCTATATTCTTTTGATTGACCAAGCTGTGCCTTCCATCTTGCTGGTTGCTGGCCTTCCACCTGCTGGAGCAGAATCTGTCAAATGACAAGGCTTCCATTAATACCAAGTGATTAAATGCATGAGTTAACCAACACACAGCAGCCTACAGTCTCATGATCCAGACCCCAGCTCCCAATGTCCCTTCCTGGGCAGACAGCATCTTCCTGTTCCCCATTCTTCCCCTCCAGCTGCAGCCCCTGGGGTAACAGCCTACCTTAGATATTAAAAAAAAAAAAAAAAAAAAAATCAAGGCCTGCCATAGTGGACTAGTGGCTAAAGTCCTTCCCTTGAATGTGCTGATCTCCCATGAGTGCCAGTTCATGTCCTGGCTGCCCCCACTTCCCTTCTAGCTCCCTGCTTGTGGCCTTGGAAAGCAGTCAAGGATGGCCCAAGGCCTTGGACCCCTGCACATAATGTGGGAGACCCAGAAGGAGCTCCTGGTTCCTGGCTTCAGATCAGCTCAGCTCTGGCCTTTGTGACCACTTGGGGGATTAATCCAGAGGGCAGAAGATTTTTTCTTTGTCTCTCCTTCTTTCTGTAAATTTGACTTTCCAGTAAAAATAAATAAAAATTTTAATCACTTTTGTCGGAAAGGCAGAGCTACAGAAAGATCTTCCATCTGCTGGTTCATTCCCCAAATGGCCACAACAACCAGAACTGAGCCTATCCGACGCCAGGAGTCAAGCGCTTTTTCTGAATTTCCCTGGTGAGTGCAGGGTCCCAAGACCTTGGGCTCTCCTCTGCTGCTTTCCCAGGCTCCAAGTAGGGAGCTGGATGGAAAGTGGAACAGCCGGGACACGAACTGGTATACCTGGGGTTATTACAACAGAAGATTAGCCGGTTAAGTCATTATGCCAGTTCGGATGCTTTTTTTTTTTAAAGAGATTTCTTTGTTTTTATTTGGAAGGAACATGCCAATTTTATCCGCATTACAATGGACATTTATTTTTTCAGAGTTTAGGAAGCCAGTGGGCAGAGCCATCTCTTTTGTAACACATCAGGGAGAGTCCTTCTTCGTCTCCTCCAGCTCCAAGTGACTGCACATGGTTCTGGCTGGTGGCCACACCACTCCTTTCCTGTGGCTTCGTGTTGCTCTACTATGCCTGGGTCTTGGGGAAATCAAGACCCCTTCTCCTTTGTCGTATGAAGGCACCAGACATGGGATTTAGAACCTATGCTGAAGATCCTAATTACTTCTGCAAAGACTTTGTTACCAAATATGGTCACATTCACAAACAGTGGGGGTTAAGACACAGACATACCCATTATGGGTGGACACAGGCCAACTCAGGACAGTGTTCTTGGGATGAGGACTGGTCTGGATTCTCTGCAAGGCCTTGCTTTTGCCTGGGTTTTTGTTTCTAAGTTCAACACGGCTACCAGTAGTGAGCTGGAACATTTTTCTCCATCACTTTTCTGCTCCTTTGTATGTCTTCTTTTGTGAATTTCTTGTTCATGTATTTTGCTCTTTTAGAATGTTTGTCTCTCTTGGCCTTCTTCGTTCTTTGACATTTTTGTCTCTCGTGTCTGTTGTGTGTTCCCCGGTTTCACTGCGCAACCTGTTGTGATGGGCTGATGTGAGCACCCGGTGATGACTCTCGTATTTGGGTCCCTGCCACCCAGGTGGGAGACCTCATCAAGGATGCCAACATCAGGCAGTAGCTTAACCCACTGCACTACAATGCCAGCCCCCTGTGTCAGTTCTGCAAGCGCATTGTTTTATTTGTATTTCATCCTGCATTATTCCAGTGCTAGAGAACACCACTGTTTTTCACAGTTTGCATTTCCCTTTAAATGCTTTAACAGACAAGACAAGGAAACTTTCGTAAGAGTCTTTTGGTTTGTTTTCCAGGTCTCTCATACAAAGGTTTCTGTCGATGATGCATGGAAGTAAGTATTGGTTTGTTCTTTTTTTTTTTTAATGGTTGTTTTACCAAAAATTAGATTTCCGCTTTCACAGTTTGAGAAATTTGAAGGAAGTCATCATTTGATTTGTAAGTGTACAGGGACAGAGAATGTGAGGCTGAGGGCCAGGTGTAGGTGACAGGGCACGGCAGACCAGGCTGCACAGACTCACGCCTTCACAGGGTGGCCCACAGGGCACGGCAGACAAGGCTGCACAGACTCACGCCTTCACAGGGTGGCCCACAGGGCACGGCAGACCAGGCTGCACAGACTCACGCCTTCACAGGGTGGCCCACAGGGCACGGCAGACCAGGCTGCACAGACTCACGCCTTCACAGAGTGGCCCGTGCAGTCCCACGCACCTGCTTTGACACATCCTTCCGAACACAGAGCTGTGGAGTCGCAGTCTGTGGGAGGCTCATGACACAACTGCTTTTCTTTGTGGATTGCCTCCCTGCGTACTGAGACCTGCAGAGGATCACGGCCTGTGAGCACCAGAGCAAATCCAAGAAAACAACGGGCTGTTTTGTTTTTGTTTTGTTTTGTTTTGTTTTTTGCATGATAGGAATCCATGATAAATATATTCCTACTCAAAATAGGAAATAATAATTACATGCATATATCAGTTTACACTTTTTTTTAGATTTATTTATTTATTGGAAAGTCAGATATACAGAAGAGGAGGAGAGATAGAGAGGAAGATCTTCCGTCCGATGATTCACTCCCCAGGTGAGCACAACGGCCGATGCTATGCCGATCCAAAGCCAGGATCCAGGAACTTCTTCTAGGTCTCCCACACGGGTGCAGGGTCCCAAGGCTTTGGGCCGTCCTCGACTGCTTTCCCAGGCTACAAGCAGGGAGCTGGATGGGAAGTGGAGCTGCTGGAATTAGAACCAGCACCCATATGTGATCCTGGCACGTTCAAGGTGAGGACTTTAACCGCTAGGCCACGCTGCTGGGCCCGGTTTACACTTTTAAGATCACTGCTATGGAAGCTAACCCGCTTGAGATGTTTTTGTTACATCCACACAAACAGATTGCTCTCACAAACTTACTTGTCTAAGTAAGTCCCATAGTAGGTGAGTGATGAATTCACTCCCTGTAACACGCCTTAGGTCAAATTGCATTACTTGCATAGAATATCGAATATTTCTTTTGTATTTAGCACTATCAAAGCTCATTTTTCTTCCCACTCCTTCATGGGAACAAATGTATGTGCTTTTATGAGATTCTAGAAATCATCTTTTTCTCCTGAATTCGTCTTTCAGTGGTACAAGACTGAAGCTTTTTATTTCGTTAACAGGGAGACAGAAAGAGGGAAAGAAAAACAGAGAATCCTTCCCTCTGCTGGTTTAGTTTCCAAAGGCCAACAAAAACTGGGGCGAAGCCAGGAACCAGGAACCCCTTCCAGGTCCCCCACAGGGTGGAAGTGATCCAGTGGCTTAGACCATCATTGGCTTCTTCCCAGTTATATTACCAGGTTGGGAAGAAGTGATAGGACTCGAACCCAGGCTCTCTGATAGGGAACTCATGCATCCAAAAGAGGCAGGTTAATCTGATTCACCCCAACACCCACCCCACCACGTGATTTTATTTGAGCCTCTCAGTGGGACTTCTGCCCCGTCCTGAAGAGGTTTGCATCCATCTGGGTACCTCCCAGCACATTCTAAGCCAGAGAGGCTGAACTTGGGCAGAAGTATTGCCTAGGCTCTGTGAGCTCATTTCTACACTTCCTCCAGCAGGGGGCGCCCCTGGGATTTGCATGGGGCCCTTTGCTGTTTCACTGGGTACCAGTACCCAGTACCCAGGTCTTCCAGGCAGAGGCCAAAACCATATGTAACTGTAAAGGCCTGAGATGGACTGGTTTTGTTGATGGAATCAACTTCCCCTCCCCAAGCCAAGCCGAGGGAGGAGAGTCAGGGACAGCACTGTAGTGAAATCTTCCCAGCCGCTGCGTTTGACGCCCCGGCGAGCCCAGCCCGGGTTTTGTACTCCATGGGAGTGGCTTGAGGACGTCTCCAGATGACCTCGTTTGCCTGTTGCAGGCTGCAGCAGCAGCGGATGTACAAGCTGCACCGAGGTCACGAGTCCATGCACGTGGAGATGGTCTTGATCTTCCTCTCTGTGCTGGTGGTCGCCCAGATCGTGTTAGTGCAGTGGAGACAGAGGCACAGCCGGTCCTACAACGTGAGTCACCTTGGGCTGCTGGACACCGCCTCCAACTGGGCTGCTTGGTTTGCCCTTTCCTTGTTGTCGCCCGACTGCTCTGGTTTGAGTCAGCGTTGCTCAAACAGGAGCAGTTTTGCCCCCAGATAGCTGTGACAAACCCAAAGTGGGGAGCACCATCTGGGTCTCCCACCTGGGCGGCAGGGCCCTGATCCTTGCACCATCATCTGCTCCTGCACGGGACCCACGTTAGCACGCCTCGGACCACAGCAGCAATCTGGCATCAAAGGTCAGTGATGCCAAAGATGAATTATTCAGCTGACTTTTGGCAGGTGAACAACTTCACCAGTGGCCTTGGTGGGGGTAGGATTGGGCCGTGCTGGCACGGATTAGGGCTCCCAGCGCCGTCTGAGTCACACTCAGGTGCCTCCATGGTCATGGTTTCCATTTCCATAGAAACGCACTTCTGCAAATGCTGTGCTGACCTCACATTTTTTTTAAAGATTTATTTATTTATTAGAAAGTCAGATATACAGAGAGGAGGAGACACAGAGAGGAAGATCTTCCGTCCGATGATTCACTCCCCAAGTGAGCGCAACGGCTGATGCTATGCCAATCCAGAGCCAGGATCCAGGAGTTACTTCCAAGTATCCCATGCGGGTGCAGGCTCCCAAAGCTTTGGGCCGTCCTCAACTGCTTTACCAGGCCACAAGCAGGGAGCTGGATGGGAAGTGGAGCTGCTGGGATTAGAACCAGCACCCACATGGGATCCTGGGCGCATTCTAGGCAAGGACTTTAGCCACTAGGCCATGCCACCGGGCCCTGACCTCACATTTTAAACGAAGGATTCCAGCCCCAAATCTCACTGTTATTCACTCTCATAGTGAGGGAAAGGCTCTTTTAACATCTACTATGATGTATTTATCTACAAAATGGAAATACCTAGAATAAATTTTATGGGATCTTTCTATAAGGAAAAAAAAAAACCCTAGGTTCTTAAAGAATCAGCCACTAGCTCTCTTCCATCTTTGCAGTTGATAATGATTTCTGGGTTTCAGGCAGGAAAAATGTCCTGTCTGCACTCTCCCATAGCTGTGGACTTCGCACAGGAAACTCCCTGTCCTTGGAAGAATAATGCCACATAAACATGTGGCCTTCACACTGTGCCAGCCCAGTCTCCTGCCATCTTTATTGGACGGTTTTCAAAGTGGCCCATTGCACAGAGATTGTCCTTGTCTTGTCATGGGTGAGGTTGCTCCTATGTCAACTCATTGAAGATGTGGTCACTGCACCATTTAGGGCACAGCACACACACTGGCTTGACCTGGCCACAGCTAGGCCTATCTGGGAGTCAGGCAGCCCCTTCCAGGCCTTAGGCCATTGGTATTCTGACTCTAGGTAGCTCAGGCATGGTGGACCCAGGAAGGCGTTCCTGAGCCTCCCAATTCTTAGTTAGCTGAAGCCATATTTTATCTCTTTTAAGATCATTTATTTATTTTAAAGTCACAGTCACAGAGAAAAAGAAAGACAAAGATCTTCCTCTGGTTTTACCCCAAAAATGACAGCAACAGCCAGGATGGAACCAGACTAAAGCCAGGAGCTAGGAGCTTCATCCAGGTCTCCTACATGGTGGGCAGGGGGCCCACTTCTACTACTTTCCCATGTGCATTATTACCAGGGAGCTGGACGGGAAGTGGAAGAGCCAGTGCCCATAGGGAATGCCAGCAAATGATCGGGTGACTGTGATCATGGCCTTTCTTGGGGTGATCCCATCTGGCACTTTGTCAGAGCCAGGCCCTAAGCAAAGATGCCCCGTGGCAGTTTGAGACTGATCGGGTCTCGGGCGTGCCTCTCGGAAACTACTGGATTAGCTCGGAGACGTGGGTGGACTCTGAACTGTGTCCTCAGCCACCAGCCCGTTATTGGCCCTGTCCCAAAGAAGCAGAAATGCCTTCCCCGCTGAGTCCCAGCATGGGAGACTGATCCCCCCCCAATGCTGTAAAACTCCTTGGACAACCTATTCTGTTCCCCTCTCAAGAGTTCTCTTGCAGAGCCAGTCCTCAGAACACAGCCTCTGCAGGAATTCTTCAGGACGTCTACAACCACTTGAGCTAGAAATGACTCCGAGGGCACCAGTAGCCTATTCTATCACTGGTTTCTACCTTGCTTACTATGTTCCATATGAACAATGAAAAAGACACTAGGCCTAATGCATTACCCAACCTAATGCCTTTGGGATGGAGTTTGGCAAGTGTATTTCCATAAATGGTAGAGGTAAAATAAATAGCTCCTCTACACTGAAGCAAGCTTCCCAATTGTTTCTCTTGGCATCCAAGATGCTATGGATCCATCAGAACTACTGAGAGCTTTGAATGAGTTTGTAAGACTCATGAAGTTTCTGACTTTTTTCTAGAAGGACCATATAATAAAGTTTATTTATATGACGTGATACTGTAATTTCCACCAGCATATTAGTAATGTATTAATTGTAATTACTATAATAATAGTTGCCATTATAACTATTGTAATTACCATAATAATATATAAAATTGCTATATGAGCACATAACAATTTATACGTGAGTGACTATTGTTAAGGCCGTGACAAGTGCCTTTGGTACATTAGCTCAGTTACCCTGGTAGGTAATTATTTTTTATCCCCCTTTGTAAAATATGCCGCAGAGATTAAACAACTTGGCCAGAGTCTGAGAGCTAATTGGTTGCAGAGAGAAGGCTGGAATCCAACCTCACTAGTCCTTTGCTGTCCTATAAAGAACAAGTTCCCTAAATATTGCCGTCTATGGTTTCCTTCTCTGCAAAAGACCAACACCTGAGACAGGGACCTAGCTGGGAGAGCTGCCAACAAGAGCCGTTGCTGTGTGGGAAAGTCTCCCATGATGACTGACGTGGGTGTCAGCTGCCACTAGCGGACTCCGAATGCATTCAGGATATAGTCCATCTATGATATTTATGCGAACTTCACCATACCCTACCAAATTGGTTCGCTGGTGAAAGATTCCTTCTCTCAATGCTCTTATGACACTAAACTGACTATTGGGCTGGTGATCTACATTCTGTGGGTTGGGCTTCCTTCTGTTTGTGTCAAGAGCGATACATCTGCGTACTCAACCTTGTCACGCACTTCCGTTGTGTCACATGCTGTTTCCAAGGCTGCGTCCATGGCTGACTTTTGCGATGCAGGAGCTAGAAGAAGGATGGTAAATGGGTGGGTACCAGTTTGGGAACTGGAAGGTTGTAGCTCCTTGTCTACCCACATGATTTTTGGTTTCCTAATCAGTAAAATGAAGAAATTTTGAAAATAGGAAAGTTTTCTGGTTCCAGTTCTAACAAAAATCTCGGATGGCTTCATTTTCGTTTTACAGCGAAGGGGGGGAAATGAACAAACCAAGTACCCACTGCTTTCCTTGGACCTACCCGAGAATTGGACACATAGGGAAAAGTGGCAGCCTGAAAATCTCCAGAGACAGACAAATGAGGAGGAGCCAGCCAAGACCTGCCTCTGGTGGCGGAAGCTGCTGCTGCCAAAGAGCTGCCAGGAAGAACTGCTGGACGTGAGAACAAGAAGCTCCCAGGGACCACGGTCTCAGCGGTGCCCTGTGCCCTGTACTTCCGTAGCATTGACTTCCAGGAACCCCAGCAGGTTCTTATGGTGAGGAGCCAAGAAAACCTTTCCTACTTCGAGGGCAAAGGAATGGGGAGAATAACCATCCCAAATGTGACCAAGAGCGTTCTCCATACCAAGGCCGCAACAGCAAAGGGAACGTATTGTGTTGGAGCCTTACGCAATGAAGGGGCGAGAAATCACCCACACCTGTCGTCCTCTGCTCCTCTCTCTCACCAAAGGGAACCTCGGAGCTGAGCAATATGCATGACGGCCACAGTCCGAGGGCAGAGGCTGGAGCCCATTGCACCAGCCCACCCCTTGCCACTGCACCAGCGGGACGCCAGGCAATAATAGTGCGTGAATGCTCAGAGCGCCACAAGGCTTCTGTCCACACAAGGCGTTTTTAAGGAAACCACAGAGCCAACAGGGGAGACGTGAGAGGGAATTTGTGGAAATGAAAGCCTCTGGAACCAACAGCAAATGCTGGGCATAACTCCTACTGAAGTTAGCACAGGATCTCACACTCAATGCCTATTCATTCCAGGCCCTGCTACACGGTTTGCCACGGCTGTGAGCCAACCACAGCGTCAAAGTCATGCCAAAAGAAGAAAAGTCAACTTGAAGAAATACAGCAAGCCTCAGAACAAGATTCTTCTCTATCGGAGACAATAAAATTATGAGACTAGGAATTCTTTTTGAAAGATTTATTTTTGTTGGAAAGTCAGATTCACAGAGAGGAGGCGAGACAAAGAGAAAGATCTTCCGTCCGATGATTCACTCCCCAATCAGCTACAACATCCGGAGGTGAGTGGATCCGAAGCCAGGAGCCAGGAGCCTCTTCCAGGTTTCCCACTCGGGTGCAGGGTCCCAAGGTTTTGGGCTGTCCTCGACTGCTTTCCCAGGCCGCAAGCAGGGAGCTGGATGGGAAGTGGGGCTGCCATGACTAGAACCAGGACCCATATGGGATCCCAGTGTGTGCAAGGCAAAGACTTCAGCCACTAGACTACTGTGCTGGGCCCTAGATTAGGAATTTAATACAATTCTGTTTAGCATTAAAAGAACTAGGGTTAATATGGCAAAGTCCCCAATGGGAAAAGTAGATGAATCCCCCTGCCCATCGGGCCGCCCACAGAATTAAAGAAGAATAACTTTGTGTTTATAAAATGATAATATTGCATGGTAAAAATTAAAAGTAAAATCAAGAAAGTGGGTGGGATGAGGGAGGGCCAGAAGGCAGGGTGAACAGATCATTGTATTCTTTTTTTTTTTAAAGATTTATTTTTATTATTTTTCATTGGAAAGGCAGATATACAGAGAGGAGAGACAGAGAGGAAGATCTTCCGTCCGATGATTCACTCCCCAAGTGAGCGCAACGGGCCGATACTATGCCATCCGAA